TCCTTAAAGCACCAAGACCTGTTCAGGGGCTTATAGGGCTGTAATTTAAGCCCCTGAACCCCTAAGCCCTCCTAAGCCCCTGGGCCCCTGAACCCTTATGTCCTAAAACCTTCCAACCCCTGATCCGCCCTTCCCACAAACCAGTATACACCCTCAGCACCCTTGAAGCCAAACAGGATTGCTTCTCCTGATTCCCTAAACAGGAGGAAGAGCAATGGCGCGTGCCTCGGACCCCGGCCGGCTGCCCCGGATCCTGACTTATCTGGGAAGGGAAGGACCCGCAATCTTTACCTTGCCCGGGAGCTGAATGTCGGTTGAGTTCTTCGAAGCCGTTTCCTGAAGGAAAGTTTTGCTGGGCCCGTTGGAGTTGGCGCAGTGGAGCCCTTCAGACTTGGCGGCATGTGTGTGTCGGGAACACTGCTGTCATAGGGCCACACACATGTCCTCGATTTCTCTTCCCATGTTTGAGTTTTGGCGTCTTGTTTTCGACTCGGCAGCTTTTGTCATGCATATCTATGTGTCCGTGGCCATTTTGACAGTGAAGCAGGCAGCTGTGCTATTCCCGGGAAAGGGGAACCTCGACGGACTCCTTGGGTAGAAGCCCCCCGTGTCTGAGCACGGGCTTTTGATCCTAGCTGCTACGTGTTTTTGAGCCCACCCACCTGGCCCTGTTGGGGGACTATGGGAGGAGTCAGCTGAAGATCGCTTCGCGGATGACAAATCGAAGAAACAGCTCGTCAAGTCCTCGTCGCCCGCCGGGTGCCGTGGTTGATCCTCAAGAACATGGTTGTAGGGGGCTTTGTCGCCCAAAAAAACTGGGCGGGGAGGTGGTCGGATGATGATATCTGAGTGCAGGCCCCCGGGTCAGCTCCTGTTGAGAATGCAATTTCCTCTTTTCGGGCCTATAAAAAGAGGACAAGCGCAAAGTCCTCGACATCCATGCGGTGGCAGACCACAAAGCCATGTTTGGGCGGGGAGACAGGAATGAGCTATGTGTGGCTGCTCTGTGACTGGTCAAAGATGGCGCGGGCTCCAACAGCACTGCTTGTCATGTCACGCCGCAACATGAGGACGTATTCCGTGAGCTCCGTCGTGCGTGGTCCTGCCGCCTGGCTTCTTCTCCAAAATCGTGCTTCTGGCAAAAAACAGCCCCCCCTGTCTGACGAAGAGACCCGTCTGCCGCACTCTCCAGCAGAGAAGAGAGCAGAGCAGAGAGCAGCTGGCCAGACTCAGGACAGGCGGCCGTCGGTGTGCTCGTGGTCTGTTGCTGGTGGATGTTCCGTGGCATCGAGTACAACATGCCCGGACCGAACAGACGATACACGGTCACCTGGCCTTCATCATCCTGCCATGCCACAAAACAGACACGGTTGGCATGTGTGTTTGTTCGTGTCACAGATCGACACGCCTGTGCCCAGAGAGCAGAGCAGAGAGCAGAGCAGAGTGCAGAGCAGAGAGCAGAGCAGAGAGCAGGGCAGAGCAGAGAGCAGAGCAGAGAGCAGAGGAGAGCAGCAGAGCAGGGGAGCGCAGAGCAGAGAGCAGAGCAGAGAGCAGAGAGCAGAGAGCAGAGAGCAGAGAGCAGAGAGCAGAGAGCAGAGAGCAGAGAGCAGAGAGCAGAGAGCAGAGAGCAGAGAGCAGAGAGCAGAGAGCAGAGAGCAGAGAGCAGAGAGCAGAGAGCAGAGAGCAGAGAGCAGAGCGCAGAGAGCAGAGAGCAGAGAGCAGAGAGCAGAGAGCAGAGAGCAGAGAGCAGAGAGCAGAGAGCAGAGAGCAGAGAGCAGAGAGCAGAGAGCAGAGAGCAGAGAGCAGAGAGCAGAGAGCAGAGAGCAGAGAGCAGAGAGCAGAGAGCAGAGAGCAGAGAGCAGAGAGCAGAGAGCAGAGAGCAGAGAGCAGAGAGCAGAGAGCAGAGAGCAGAGAGCAGAGAGCAGAGAGCAGAGAGCAGAGAGCAGAGAGCAGAGAGCAGAGAGCAGAGAGCAGAGAGCAGAGAGCAGAGAGCAGAGAGCAGAGAGCAGAGAGCAGAGAGCAGAGTACGCGCTCCGCTTGCGGATAGAGTGGTCTTTGATTTATAGGTGCCCCTTCCCCCTTTGAAGAAGGGGCAACGCAAAACTGTCTTTAAAGTTTCTGAGTTTTCTACCACGTGTGTTTGCAGATCTTGCATGGGCATGATTTATGCAGACGTTTTTCATGTGGTTTTTCGGGGCTTCGCAGTAGGCACAGCTGCTTGAATTCTTCTCTTGTGCAAAATGCAAAGTGCTTGTGCCGCGCTCAGCCCTGCTCAAACAGAGGTTCGTGGTCGTTTGCATACATGGCACATGTGCTTCATTATCACATTTGCAGGCCGTTCTTTAGCGAACTCTTGAGCACATTTGTCAATTTTTTCCTCCATGGGCGACGGCTCGGACACTCTTGTGGAGGTTGCGGTCGAGGACGCCGACTTTTCTTCCTGCTCTGAACCTTTCAGTGTCGAGTCCGTTGTCCTCGAGCTGGAACGTGAGATCGAGGGCGAGCCTGTGGCCCGCGAGGACCTGGCCCGCCGCGTGCAGAATCTCGAGCGAACTGTCGCTGCCCTGCAGTCTCGCTGTGCTGATCTTGAGCAGGACGTGGAAGTGGTTTCTACTCGACTGGCGTCCGTCAACGCCTTCTTGCACGGCTTCATCAGTCGCTTGGGACAGCTCTTCCGCGTTGTCATCAACCGCTTGCCCACTGGCTTCTGAACAGGCTGCCCTGATGGCTTCTTCCTCTAGTGCTTCGGGCCTCCCTGGCCATTCGGAAGGGGGAGAGACTGGGCCAGCGTCCCTCAGCGATGCTCTGGCTGATCCGTCTGACTTTCATTCGCGACTGGTGGCGGCCGAGACGCCAGCAGTTTTGGATGCCACCTCCATCAGTGTTTCAGAGTTCTCTTGGCACGCACACCTTCAAGAAGCCCGAGTCTTACCGCCCCTCTTGCCATGGGAGAGGGGCCCCTTGACTTGGGTCTTTGGAGAGCCGGCTAAAAGATCTCGCATCAGCTTACCAAAGGACTTCGCTGCATCCCCCCTGGAAAAGCATGGGACAGAGAAGGCTCCCCTCGTGATCCATCAGCCAATCCCAGACTTTGCCAAAAGGAGGCTCCGTGTTGCATCTCTACTGGTCACCCAGGACACTTCGAGATGGGAGGCCCTTCGCAAACTTCAAGTGCTGGTGCTTCTGGACCCTTCGGCGACTCAAGTTGGGCAGGTGTTGGCGGCTGAGGCGTCCTTGCTAAGGGACAACAGTTTCTTACAGCGAGCCTTTTCCGATGTCTTCGAGGGGAAAAGCACTTCTACACTGGTGAAAAGGGCTTCTTCCTTGTGGCGCTTCGCCAACTTCTGCATCGACGGTGGCTTCGGGAACCCGCTTGAGGTCTCGGAGCATGCTCTGTACCAGTACATGTTCCACCTCGAAGAGCACGGAAAGCCAACCACGGGCTCCTCATTTCTCCAGGCTTGGAACTTTGCGCTTCACACCCTCAAGTTGAACCGTCCCAGGTCGCTGGGGGCGCTGTCAGCAAGGGTTAAGGGTGCAGCCCAACGGATGTACTCGAAGAAGCGCAAACTGGTGCAAGCCCGACCCTTGACTGTGAAGCAGGTCAAAGCCCTGGAATACGTCGTCCTCAAGGCGCCCTACATTCACTGGAAGATCATCGCTGGCCACCTTCTTCTGTGTGTAGGGTCCAGCAGCCGCTTTGGGGACTCAATTTGCCTGGCAGTCCTCAAGGTTGAAACGGCGCAGGGCTTCACCTTGGTCGAGGCTGAAAGCTCAAAATGGAAGACCGGAAATGCTGCCTCCCGGCGTGCTCAGCTGCTTCCCCTCGCTTCTCTTGGGAAGTTTTTCGCAGATGCTCCGTGGGCCGTCGAATGGATGGCTCTGAGAGAGAAGCTGGGCTTTGGTCTAGATCCAGCACTTCCGGCTTATTCCGAGGCGACTGGCGAGTGGCTGCAGCGGCCTATGTCGACGGGCGAGGCGACTTTATACTTGAGAGAGTTTTTGTCTGCTGCATCTCAACCATATGATGGTGTTGGCTCCCACTCCCTCAAGACGACAGTCCTGTCGTGGGCCGCCAAATCAGCTGAAGTGCCCCTGAGTGACCGCCGCCTGTTATCACGTCGATCCAGGCGTGGCGTCCCCTTTGACATATGCGCGGGATGAACAAACCCGCCTCATGAGGGTTGTACATCGCCTCGTGGAGAGAATCTGCAAGGGCCACTTCCGTCCAGACGACACGAAGGTCTGGCGCTTAGCCAAGCTCATCTCCTCCGATTGTGGGGGCGATGCCCTGGCTGAGAACGTGGTGCAGGGCGACCCGGGCGTGCCGGAGTCCGATGAGGAGGACGATGACTTCGATGAGAGGGACATGGCCGCGAACACAGGGGTCATTTCAACTCGTGAGCCCATGAGCGCTGCAGAGCTTGATGCCACAGCTGATTGTCGTATGCACGTATTTTCCCGTGTGGTGCATGTTTTGGACGGCAATCGTTTTCTTTGTGGTAGGAGTTGCTCGCAGAACTATTCGCCGATTGATGTCAGTGTACCCCTTTGTGACTTGCCTGTGTGCGCTCAGTGTGCAGCCCGAAAGGGGGCCTGACCGGATGTGCTTCGTCGGAAAGTGGTTGTCTCCAGTATACTCCACTTGAAGCTGGATGCCTCCATTCCCCCCCCTCCCAGCTGACCTTCGGGCGTTGAGCTGGCCCGGGGGGGGGGGGTTGCTGCATGTGAAGCATGGCACAGTCCCGCTGACCTTCGGGCGTGGGGCGGTGCGTTTGGTGCCCGGTGTGGTGCAGACTAAAGAGGCGAAGGTCACTTTCTGCCATATGTGTGATCTAATTATACTGGCACAGTCCCGCTGACCTTCGGGCGTGGAGCGGAGCGTCTGGTGCCCATGAGCGTAAAGCCTCAGGCCTGTCTTCGAGCATGCCTAGCTTGAGTTTCTTGTGAGCGCCGGCCTGCAGCTGTGCCCCGCGTGGTAGTTCCTTTCTTGGTTCGCCATGAATTCTGCCATTGACAGCGAGGCGACCTTCACGGCCCGGGCCCTCGAGCTTGGCATGGAGAAGGGCTTCTTAGACTTGTTGATCAAGGCCAATGTGAAGTCCCTGGGTGCGCTGGCTTTCGTCAGCCCGTACCAGATCGGCCAAGCTGATGAGAAGCCCCTGATTGATGCTGTCCGGGATCTCATCCGGCGGGATGTCACTACGCGGGAGCTCATCCCGCTTCGACGCTTGTGGTTCGAGGCTAGCACAACCGTCATGGGTGAGCTCAAGCAAAAGGTTGAGCGTCAGGACTCGGCTGAGCCTATTCGCCTGACCATAGCCGAGAGGACCACGAGGCTGGAGGAGCAGAAGAAGCGTCTCGTGGGGGTTTGCATCACGAGTGAGTCCGAACCGTCTCATCGCCTCGTGGACCTTGTTTTCCAGCAGGGTGCTGATCAGCAACTTTCTTGGATCCCCTGGGAGCGTCTGACTAGCAGGGCTCATGAGGTTACCCACTCTCGCAGTGACCTCGGGCTTCAATTCGATGCTGCTGGAAATCTCCGCCTCACCAAGAAGATGCAGGAGAGCTCCTGCACGCTTAGCGGGGAACTACAAATCCGCCAGGCCCTTCAGAGGCGCGCTCTGGCGTACGACCTCGCTCGTTTGTGTGATTTCTCGGCCATGGAGTTGTACCACGAGGAGCTCTTCTTCTTGCTGACTCGAAGCCCCCCGCAGGGCTGTCTCTACGTCACCATGGCCCAGGTCCGCGAGTCCGACAAACAGCTTTTCGTCCGGCTAGCTGAGAAGACTCGTGGTGCTTTGACTGCTCGCCCAGATGGCTCTAAGCCTTTGCAGGTGCAGCTCGAGGCCCTAAAGAGCCACCCCCAGGTCCAGTTCTGCCTCATCCCGGCTCCGAAATCGGCCCGCTTCCAGCCCTACGAGCCGCCTGAGGGTCGCTCCGACCGTGCCGCTGGTGGCAAGAAGGGGCAGCCTCCCAAGGGCAAGGGGGCCCAGACCTCGGGTGGGGGTGGCAAAGGTCCCTCCACCCCCTTCGAGCTGCCGCCGGGCTGTTCTTCTCAACATGAGGGCAAGCCTGTGTGCTTCGGGTTTAACTGCAAGGGCTGCAAGTTTGCTAAACCAGGCAAACGCTGCCGTCGAGGCCTGCACGTATGCTGGAAGTGTTTCGCGCCGCATTCCTACACTGCCTGCCCGCTGGCAAACTGACTAGCCCTCACGAGCTCGGATACTGGCACTTCGCTGACTTTGGCCCACCTTCTCCAGGTCTTCCACTCTTTGCCGGGTGAGGAGGCCCCTCGCAGCGGCTCCACCGATCAGAGCCGTGTTTTCCAGGCGGGGGCGTATGTGCATGGTGCGTTAACTGGTCTGCGTCGCTCGTGCTCCTTGTATCCAGAGGCAATTAGAACATTTTGCTCTTTTATTTGTGAAAAGACTCCTCCGGAGTTCGTGTTTAGCAACATTGCAATTTTCCAGAACCTGCGTACTGAGCTGCATCGGGATAAGAATAATTTAAGGGCTACTTTGAACTTCGCGGTGGCCATTTCGGCCTTCGAAGGGGGCCAAGTTTGGATTCAGGCTGATCCCGCATCCTCGAAGTCGGGCATTTTGCTCGATGTGACGGCCCAGGGCGTCTACTTCAACGCCCGTGAGCGCCTTCATTGCACATGTCCATGGACCGGCTCACGCGTGGTCGTCGTTGCCTTCAGCCTGCGTGGCTCCGATTGCCTGCCCAAAGCAGAAGCCTTGACCCTTAGTTCTTTGGGGTTTAGGGTCCCTTCCCCTGGCGTTGACAACAGTCACTTGGAGTCCTCTGGCCGCCCCTGCTCCGAGCCGCCAACTGAGGTGCCGCCTCCCTTTCGGTTTAGGCCCCCTCCCCCGGGTATAGTCCCCATGTGCACCCCCGCTGAGACCTCTTGGTCCGCGGGCTCCTCAGCAGCCACCCCCGCGCCCTCGAGCTCCTCCCCTCCGTGCACCCCCGCTGCGGCCTGCTTGCCCGCGGGCCCCGACCCGCCCGGCGTTGCCGCCTTCCCTCCGGAGCCGCCTGGGGGCAACTTGGCAGCTCCGACGTTTGTTGAGCTGTTTGCTGGTTGCGCTCGTTTCAGCTCTACTTTCGCAGCCGCTGGTGTGCCCGCGTTGGCGGTGGACGGCCCCCGAAATCAGCACAGGCCTTTGCATCCTGTCTGGACGCTCGACCTCACCGTGCCCCTTTGTCAGCGCCTTTTGCGTGAGCGCCTTCTCTCTGGGCGCCTTTTGGGCATTCACCTTGGCCTCCCGTGCGGAACTGGCAGCCGCGCTCGAGAGATCAAGCTCCCAGCTCATCTTTTGCGATCCGGCGCACCGCAGCCTCGCCCCTTGCGCGATGCTACATACTTGCTGGGCCTTCCCGGCCTTTCCTCTGCCGAGCAAGCCAAAGTTGACGCGGCAAATGAACTCTGCCGCTTCGTTGTTTCCCTGCTGCTGGACGCATATGCCAAAGGCTGGACCGTGACCATAGAGAATCCGGTGAACTCCTGGATGTGGAGTGTTCTCGCCTTGTTTGTTCGGCAGACCGGGAAGCGTGCTTTTCAGAGCTGGTATGCAAGCTTGTTCCATGTTGACTTTGACCAGTGTATGTGGGGTGGCCATCGAAAAAAGGCTTCTCGCTTTCTCACCTCCGCATCTGAACTGAGAGGGCTCGTGGCTCCCTGTGACGGTCGGCACACACATGCACCCTTTCAGATCTACCGCAAGGCGGGGGGCTGGCAGTTTGAGACCGCTCTGGAGGCCGAGTATCCCGCTGAGCTGTGCTTGCAGTATGTCTCTCTTCTTGGGGCCCGCCTGAGCCTGCCTGCACCAGCCCCCAGGCGGCCTCTACTCCGCCAACCCCGCCGCCGTCCTCCGCTGGTGCCCGAGTACAAGTTTTTCACTCATGTTCGCCCCCTTGAGGGTGAGTTTCGCGAGCTCTCTTCTGAGGGGGGAGGAGACGGGAGCCGCTCAACTTTTGCAGTCCTGCATACCAAGCAGGAGTTTATGGCCAAGGCCTGTCAGGTACCGCACCCCTTTGATGCATCTGACTCCATAGACGACCAGGTCAAGAGGAACATTTTTGAACTGTTCACTGGTGGCTTCATGCCTTCGGCCAGGAAGAGGCTGTCTATGCAGAAACGTCTGGCCGCCATGAAAAAGGAGCTGGCGGTGGAGGAGCGGCGCCACCAGGCTTCACTTCCTCCACATGCCCAGGCGGTCCTAAAGGGCAAGAACATCCTTCTTTGGCGCAAGCTGCTCGTGGAGACAGGCTTCCCCGACCTGGACGCCCAGGAGCTCATGGAGGGGGTCCCCTTGATAGGAAGGCCAGCGAAGTCGCCGCTCTACGACTGGAAAGAGATCCCCGCAACTTGCACTAGGGAGGACCTCCTCGCTTCCTCAGTTTGGCGGAACGAGATGCTTTCGGGAAAAGGGGCTGTGGGAGATGATGCTGATCTCCTGCACAAGGTCTGGCTGGCCACTGAGAAGGAGGTGGAGAAAGGCTACCTCATTGGCCCCTACGAGTCCCTCGAAGACGTCAAGGCAACCCTGGGCGCAGAAGAGGTTTGCTGCAGCAGGCGTTTTGGTGTTCGCCAGGGCTCCGGGGATTCTGAGAAATGCAGGCCCATAGATGACTACAAAGAGAGCGGGGTTAACACGGCCTACCATGCTGTGGACCTACTTCAGTTGCATGACGTCGACTACCTAGTCAACCTCTGCTGTTTCGTGGCGAACGCTGCTCATGACGACGGCTTCACCAGGGTAGGGCTGTCGGATGGCTCGACGCTCGTGGGGCGTACACATGGTGATCTTCTGGGGAGGGTCAAGTGGCTGGGGCGTTGCTTGGACCTGGAAAAGGCCTATAAGCAGATCCCGGTTATGGCCAAAGACCTCGTCTTCGCAGTCTTGATGGTTTGGGAACCTGGGTCGGGCTCGTGGAAATACTTCATCTCCAGGAGCCTCCCCTTCGGATGCTGCGCGGCGGTTTACGGTTTCAATAGGGTTTCTAGGTCGTTGCTGCACCTGGCCCTGCATCTCGCCGGCATGATCGGCGGGGTCTATTTTGACGACTTCCCTTTGCTTGAGCCGGCCCCCACTGCAAGGATGGGCTCCCTCGCCATCGAGTGCCTTCTGGACGCCCTGGGTTGGTCGTACGCAGTGGGTGATGACAAGGGCCGCCCCTTTGAAGAGACCTTTGACCTGCTTGGCAAGCGACTCAGTGTTGGGGAGCTTCTCGCTGGTCAGGTGGCCTTGGCAAACAAGCCTAGCCGCGTTGAGAAGATCCGAGCCCAGGCTTCAAGGATGGCATCCTCAGGCTGCGTCACTCGCAGGGAAGCAGCCTCCCTGCACGGCCAACTGAACTTCATGGTGGGCTTCGCGGCTGGACGAGCCATGAAGATAGCCTGCAGGGCCCTGGCCAACATCTGCTACATGAACCGCTCTCCCTCCGTGGAAGAGGTGAAATCGCTGGGGCGCTTCATCCTGAAGACACTCTCTGATGCACGTCCGAGGACCTTCTCACTCCGGGCGCAGGGGAGCCCGGTCTCCATCTTCACTGACGCGTCCTACGAGAAAGGCGTCGCCCGCTGGGGGATAGTTCTGCTGGACCAGAGCTCCAATAGAAGAGGGGTGGCAGCGGGCGAGATCCCGCCCAAGCTTGTGGACTTCTGGCTGGCAGAGGGCATCGAGCAGGTCATCTCTCAGGCGGAGGCCTACGCGCTGGTTCTCTCGAGGCGGGCCTGCGCCTCGGAACTGGCCGGGAAGAGGTGCATCTTTTACGTGGACAATGACGCCGCCAGGTACACTTGCATTAAGGCCAGCAGCCCCTCTCGTTCTCTACTGAGCTTGGCATGCCTCTTCTACGCCAGCGAGTCGGCTGATGGCGTCGTGTCTTGGATTGAGCGCGTTCCTTCTGCAAGCAACGTGGCCGACCTCCCTAGCAGGGGGGAAGCTGCGTTGGCAGCACAGATGATTGGAGGTCAGGTCGTCGACTTCTCTCAGGCTGCGCAGCTTCTAGCAGATGAGTGCATGGACCTGAGCGACCTTCCCTGGGACCTCCTCTCGTCCTCGAGCGGAAACCTTTGGACACTGCCCTTCCTTTGAGCCCGGACGTTTGAGGGGGGGATGACGGGTCCGTTGAGGGCAGTGAGTGCAATCTCCGTATGGTCCCTGGACTCTTTGGCAGGGTCCGTCGAAGGGCAGGGAGCTTTATGTCCCATGAGCCCTTGTGCCCAGCCTTACCTTTTTGAAGTTCCCCTGATCCGAGGCAACTCGCAGTGACGCAAAAGGATTGGAATCTTAGCGTGTTGGGAAGGGTTCGCAATTTTTACATACTGTCTATTCTTTATGAACCTCTTCCTTTATACATTCAGATGTCGACAGTTTTGTAAATCCTAAAGACTACGCGCTCCGCTTGCGGATAGAGTGGTCTTTGATTTATAGGTGCCCCTTCCCCCTTTGAAGAAGGGGCAACGCAAAACTGTCTTTAAAGTTTCTGAGTTTTCTACCACGTGTGTTTGCAGATCTTGCATGGGCATGATTTATGCAGACGTTTTTCATGTGGTTTTTCGGGGCTTCGCAGTAGGCACAGCTGCTTGAATTCTTCTCTTGTGCAAAATGCAAAGTGCTTGTGCCGCGCTCAGCCCTGCTCAAACAGAGGTTCGTGGTCGTTTGCATACATGGCACATGTGCTTCATTATCACATTTGCTGGCCGTTCTTTAGCGAACTCTTGAGCACATTTGTCAATTTTTCCCACCCACCCACCCGGGGGGAGATGACGGGTCCGTTGAGGGCAGTGAGTACAATCTCCGTATGGTCCCTGGACTCTTTGGCAAGGTCCGTCGAAGGGCAGGGAGCTTTATGTCCCATGAGCCCTTGTGCCCAGCCTTACCTTTTGAAAGTTCCCCTGATCCGAGGCAACTCGCAGTGACGCAAAAGGATTGGAATCTGAGCGTGTTGGGAAGGGTTCGCAATTTTTTACATACTGTCTATTCTTTATGAACCTCTTCCTTTATACATTCAGATGTCGACAGTTTTGTAAATCCTAAAGACTTTACCTGCCTTTCAGAACAGATTCCAGATTTTACCAGTTCAAAAAACGTGGAAAAAAATTCAAAAACAGCTTCTAACACGAAAAACATTTCTTACTCCAGTGTCGCACTTGCTTCGCTCGCCAGCTGGATTGCCAGGGATGTCGATGGGTTTTCAAGATAGTGCACACAGTCTCTTTGCATCAAGCTTGCAGGCAGTCTGACTGCCTCATACAGAGCATACCTTCTCGGCCTTTTGGCTATGATCAAGTGTAGTATCTGTTCTTATCAGTGTGACAACTGATATGTCTCCAACTGGATACTTGCTTGTCACATCAATTTTTGCTGGGGAAGTGTCTTCATGAGCTCGCTCAGAAGCCTTCACGTGTTGCGCTGGCATGGCACCAAGCCAGTGGCAGCACACCCTACTGGGGTAACTATGCATGTTCAGAGTCTGACTCATCTGCTGCCTGAACTTGAAGATTTCCATCTAGCAAAATGCTAAACTGCACCGAGTGTTACTTTCACAGCTATGCCAGCAGCTATGCTCTGTTACTTCACAGCTATGCTCTGGAACAGGGTTTTGGGATGCATCATGGTCGCGGTCAGCCCAGCTGAAACGTGACCTGTGTCACAAAGACCGATGTGGGTTTTGTGACACACAGTCACACACTAACATTGAGCACTTTCTGTTGGGCCGAAGCCCACATAAAAATTGCAAGAATGACCTTGACGATCAAACTTGACGGGAATTGGAGTAGTTTTCAACTAGCAAACAGCGCACCTCCGCTAAGCGTCACTGCGCTATTGCCCCTTCCGCAAGGATACTTAAGATCAGAACCTCGTATGTGTTGCTCGACATCCAAAACTAACCATTGTAGCAAAATGTTTGGAGCAGGACAAAAAAGCGAGAATGCAGGACGGATGAAGCCAAAGCTTCTTGCAAAGCTCCGTTGCCTCGGCAAAACCATCCTCAGCCAGGAAGAAGTTGCTGGTCCTGACAGCAGTGGTTTTCAATTCTCTCGCTGGGATTCTATCATCCTGTCACCTCTGGAGCTTGGGTGGAGGAGGGCAACTACTGTCTCCAAGTCCTGCCCTTCATGTGGAGAGCTCACCTCCCTTTAGCTTGCAGACTGCAAGGTTGGCATAGAGTAGTCTGTGCCAACCTGGCAGGCAAAGATTGAGGTAAGGCTCAGGCTGGCAACAGAGCAGGCAAAACTCAACACTGCAAGCAGATGGGAGAGAGTGAGCTTGAATGGATGGCAGTGACCTCTGGTGGCATGAATGTGCACCACTCCACTCTTTTTTGTCCCCTGCAAGAAACCCTACTTGGCTGTTGCCTCCTCTAGCAAGACAAACTTCATGCACACGTGTCATTGCGATTGTCTTCTTCTGCATCAGATGGTTTCAAAGCTAGCCATCACAGCGTTCACGTCATAGCGCACCAATCTTTCGCCTTTTACTAAAGGTTGCCGTGAATGGGACGCATCAATGTGACTCACACAATTTTTGCGGAGCTTCGTGCTCCAACAACAAAAACAACAGCCCTCACTCACTGCCAGGGGCACCACTCTGCCTGCTGTGAGACTGCCAGCCTGCCGGCTCATGGCAGATGGGTTTAGACTTGCCAAGTTCTTGACAGAGGTAAGCGAGAGCACACCCACACAAAGCATAAGCTTAGAAGCAGTATGAAATTGTGCAGTGAAGACTTGTGAACTGATTCAACATCTGCCAAATTCAGCACGGAGAGGCAAGAGTGAGCACACCCACATAAAGTTTGACATCAAGCAAAAGCTGACAGCACCCTAAGCGCTTCCCAGCCGGTCCCCCATGCCAGTACTAGGCGGGCTCTCCACCGCTTAACTTCGGAGGTCAGAAGAGATCCGGTGCATTCGGTGAGATATGGCCGTCAGCGACTCTACAGTC